GTGGGGTAAGACTCAGTAAAAATGTGAAGGACAAAAGCTACCAAAATTTCTTCAGACTGTTCTAGGCATGTATGTCTTGTCCATCTCCTACAGCTTCTGTTGTCAGTGATGCATGTTTCTTTTCACACCTAATTTTGATGTCAAAAGCAGTACAAACAGGTCTTTTTCTGGTGTTGCGTTGATCTGAACTCTGGGAGACTCTTGCTAGTCATGCAGTCAGGCATAGCCAAGCACAGCAGATCAGAAAATTAGTGACAAACTGATTTATCAGTAATGTGCAGAGGCAGAAGAACTGAAATATTGTGGATGTGTACTACTATTTCATTGTGCTTTTGTTGACAAGGTAATTAACATCTAACAAGGTTCTTTGTTCTGACAAAGCCCCTTGAAAAAAAAAATGGTTTTGCAAAAAATACTGTAAAATTGAAAGGAACTGAATGACAAAGATGTCACACTCAAGAAACCAAGGAAGAAAATACAACAACATCATAGGCCTGCAATTAGTTCCATTTGCAGGAAAGTAAACTAAAGAGTTAATTGTCCACCAAATAGATAATAGTCCACCAAATGTCTTCCTCCCTTGGGAGCAAAGCACTCACTGTGCCACCATTTGCAGTCTCCTCAAACGTGATCTCACACCAATGTATGAGTTCAAAGTGCTAATAGGGAGAGTGGCAGATGTAGTATCCATCTTTCACCACATCCCAAGAAGTTTGAGGCATTTGGTCTTCTAACACTTGCAGCGTATGTGGTTGTGGGGGCTGGGATCCTCTGGCTGTTTGGGAACGTGGCTGCCCCATTTGTTCTTCCCATCAGCACGTCACTGACTTGTACAGTTCTTGGCAACTATCACACAGCACAGATCTCCTCTACCAGATCTCTCCAAGAAGATCTGGAGCACCAGAACATGGGCCATTTGCCACCGCAATGGTCCTTCTGTCAGTGTCCCTCAGAAATCATTTCCTGCATATGCAGAGCTTCCTCCATATTCCGTAAGCTTGGAGAAAACCAAGTGGAGAGAATTTAGTAATCGTTTCTTCACATAAGCACAGATTTACTGCTTTTCTGGAGTTGAAATGAAAACGCATTTTTAACTGATACTTCTATTGCTTTCAATGTATTAGTTTCACCTTTTGCTTGGTGGTTTTTCTGATTATGTGAGAATATTGTTTTTTTTTATTGCTTTTTATCAGGCATAGGAAAAGTACACAAACTTCTGAGCTGAATATGTTCAGAACAGAAACAGACTGACTGAAAACCTCACTTGCACCCAGAACAGCTGTGTCACCAAAATTATTGTAAAATTGGAGGGAATTAGGTTTTTGACTTGTTTATGCTCTTCACATTAGAAATTCAAGTCAAAAAAGCTCAGGAACTGACCTGAGCTTTCTAACTTAGGAAACTTGGCTCCCTCTGTAGTCAGTGAAGAGAAAGAAAAAATAGATAGACGTTCCAACTCAAGAGATCAAAACTGGCTTATTTTTTTCCACAGACAATTAGAGGTCCTGTAGTGTAAATGCACACTACAGGTTTCCCAGTTTGCTAATGCTTTCATTCATCTTTCACTTACTTTCAGTAGTTTCTCAACCACTGAAAAAATCTTTACAAGAAAATATTCAGGAGCCAGAGAAACTTGCAAGCAGGATTTTTCACTTGTTCTAAGTTCAGGTTACAGATGTAAAGCTTCCTCTTTTAAAAATTTGGATATATTATTCTAACTTTTAGAAGAGCCAACACCGTTTTCTGAAACTGACCTTTACATCTAGTGTTACAGCCAATTAGTGCAAAATGCTCCCAAAGTCAGATCATTCCTTCTGTTTTATCTATACGAATGGCATTTCTCAGAATGGTTTCACACACATCTTTCACTGCTTCCACCTCTTCTGCAGATTTGGCATATAAATATCAACCTGTTTGTAGTATTCACAGACAAAATTTTGAATATTGATGGGGTTTTCCTCTGATTTAAATGTAAAGGGTTTTGTGCCACATGAAAGCCTGCTTTTCCACTCCTTTTCTAACTTGTTTCTTTATACTGATGCTAAATTACTTTTTTCTTTGGTGATTGTGAACAAAAGGCTTGAGACCCTGTAAATCAAGCAAGCATGCTTATAAATTGTTGTTGACCTTCAGCAGTACAAGTTAGGAAAAAGTATCATGTGCTCTTCCATGTAGATGCAGCTGGTGAAACTAGGAATATATAAGGAGAAAGTGTAGGACCTGTCTGCCCTGCTCTGAGGCTGAGCACAACTCTTCTCAGTTTGCACTTCTGGTAGTGGGGCATGGAAATTGCTCATACACTGAGTAATTGCCATGGCTCCTTTCTTTTTTCTTTTTTTTTTTCACTCATGCACACTGAAAAACAAACTTTAAAATAATTTAAAAAAAAATCTATTTGGATTTTTTTTTTAAATTTAATTAGGAAATATTTTCGTTGTGGTGTTTGACAGGAAGCGGAAACAAAAACTCTCAAAACTTGTTTGGAAAATTTCAATTTTTTAAAGCTAGTAAAATGTTTAAACTGTCAAGTTGTTTTGAGGTTTGCAATAAAAACAAAAATACATGTGTAATGCAGTATTTTTCATACAATATATTTGATAGTGTGGTTATAAAGACTGGAGATGGCATTTCTGCTTTCATTTGGTCAAACTCGCATCTTAAATATATTGCTTTTTAACCTATTGCTACCTTAAATTAGCATTGCTGTTTTGTAAATTTTTTTCCAAGTCCAAACAAATCTCCCATTGATCATATCAGAAATTTTACTCTGCTGTGAGATTCCAAGTTAATTGTTAATGAAAAAGAACACGACATTAGTAAAACAGCTTTTACTGTCTAGTGCTTTTGGAAGGTTTGTTTATAGAGCTTATAACGTAAGAAGTAAGTTTGCATATCTTCCAACATAGCCTACAAACTTGCTGAAAATAAAGAGACATCAGGAGCTAGTATCAGTGTTGACAAGGACAAAAACAGAAACCCAGCAGCAACTACTCTGTCAGCCTGTTTAAGACAGAGATTTGAAACTTTCTCCAGCTTGTGGGTAATATCACATTTCTCCCTCCTCTGTCCCCACCCTCCTACTGAGATCAAAAGACAATATTCATGCCTCTTTGTAAGCATTGTGCCATCTGCACAGCTCCATTTGTAGAAGCAAAGTCCAACTTGTCCTCTGTTTCCTTACTTAGATGTATGATACAGAGAGTGCTGCTAGAGATCTGATGTAGCGGTTTTGTTACGTATGAGCCTAACAACCTGAAACCTGCCCTCTGTGCTCAGTCCTAGTAGTAACAACTTCCCATAAAGTCAAGAGTCAAGATCACAATCAGTGTTTTGAGGCAAAATATGAGCACTATAAGTTTTTGTCTGATTGATTGTTTGTTTGAAGGCCACAAATCTAGCAAACAAAAATGCTATTTAAAGCTTTTTATGATCCGCTTCAGTTGTCTGCTCTTTTACTACGCTGAAGTAAGCTAAGATCATGGAAGCATAGAACCATATACAAGTCGGAAAAGACCTCTAAGATCATCTGGTGCAACCATCCACCTACCACCAGTACTGACCAGTAGCCACATCCCTCAGTACCACATCTACACATTTCTTGAACATCTGCAGGGACGGTGACTCCACCACCTCCTCAGGCAGCCTGTTCCAGTGCTTGACCACTCTTTCAGAGAAGTTTTTTCCTAATATCCTGGTGCAACTCAAGGCCATTCCCTCTTTTCCTATCAAGATCCATTGGAAGCCACAAGAAATGTTCTTCAGATGGTCACTATCTCTCCAAGACTCAGTTGACTGGGGGCCTGGGGCACTGCTTCTTATGTTTGTGCAGCACAGAGACATGAAGCTTCCCTTGCAGAGTTCTAGGCCCATCAGCAGTGCTGGCCAGGGGCTAAGGATGTCTCTCTTGAGTGGTTATGGGACAAATCAGCTGGAGGAAATATCTTTAAAAAGTAAGTAAAAATTGTAATTGACAAATCAGTAGATGTGTTTTCTGAGATGGCCAAAAGCCAGGGATTCTACTGTTTTTAAATAAAGTACCTGCAAGTAAAAATAGTGATTATTCAAACAAACTGAAGAACCTAAAGGAAGTTACAAGGCATGGGGAAAAAATACTAGAAAGCTTATAGCAATCAGTATAGCTTAGAAGATAGAAATGTAAGAAATAGAGGTACAAAGGGATTCTTTCTAGGAAACAAAAAAATTATGGAAGGAATAATCCTGGAACTATTTATTCTCTTTGAAATAAATTGAATATGAATATACTGAAAGTATTGCTAATACTGTAGAAAATATGATAGTGCTCAAAAATATTTTGCTGTCATGTTCGGATAATCTACAAGACATTTTTATTGTGGAGAGATCCAGTTGATATCAACAGCTGTGGATGAAACCTTTTTCATTCCAACAGTAGCTCAGGAGAATTTAGTGATAGGCATGGAGTCTGAATGCAAACATCTGCTGGTCTCATCACCCTGCTCAGTTGGAGAACCCACGGCCTCCCACCATGTTTTCAAATGCCACACATTTGTTTACCCATGATCTCTTCCTGGTGTTGTCATCTGGATTCTCAGAGCACTTCCCATGGCACTGCAGACTCTCAGATCAACCATTCTCTTTATCTGAGTGATTCCTTGTCTTCTAGATGTCTCAATAAATTGATGCCATGTCAGACTTTAAGTTTTGTGTTTTGCCCTTTGCTGCATCGCACGTGAAAGTTCAAAACCTTGGCAACTCCCTGTGCTGCATTTCTTCTTGTGAACTCAGTATCATGCCACAGGTCTTGTATCTTTTTGAATTACAGAGGCAACTATATCCACCCCTTAGAAAGTATCTCAAAAGCATGGGTGTTGATAATGTTAGGGTAACCAGACCACAGTGGTGTTATCCTGTCTGAGACGTGATGCAGCTCCAGGGCTGTGGAGCTGGTTACCGGAGAGTGACGTGCATTCATTATCACCGAGTAACAGAAATAGAATCATAGAATTGTTTGAGCTGGAAGGGATGTTTAAGGATCCAACTCCTCCTGAACAGGGACATCTATAGCCAGATCGAGTTGCTCAGATTTGTGCACAGCCCTTCAAATACTGAATGGTCAGATCACAAATTGTTGAAAGTTGCCTCCATCCAGCAACATCCTGCAGTAACTCCTGGCAGCTCTGGAGTTGGTGGTAAAGAGGTGCTGTGCCCCTACAGAGCCCGAAGGATCTGCACAGAAAGGCTGTCTGCCCTGAGTCAGCTCTCTGCAGTCAGGTGCCCATGGTGCGCTTCCCCAGCAGCAGAGGTGTGAGTGGCAAGAGAACATGTATGCCTGCATGCCAGGTGAGCTGTTCACGTGTCCTACTCCTATACAATTGTGTATTTAGGCTGCCTAGGCAGGCAGTTGTGAGCGGGTGCATTTTCCATGCACATAGATGCATCTTCCACCCCTCCAACAAGAAGAAAGCCTTGTGCGCAACCTGCTGTCTTTGCCTATCGGAGATGAAGTCCTCCTCTGAACCCTAGGAGAGCAGAGAAGGCATCTCTACTGTGGATATATATGCAATAATTGGCCCATATGCTACACAGTTTTTCTTTATTCAGTCGTGCCATGTTATGGGCTGGATTTGTGCTTGCTTCATGCTATCAGCAAATTAAAAAGGGGATGGTCATTGGTGGAGTTGTACAAATTGTCCCTTAACTCAGCAGGAACAGGAATAAGCTCCCCCCATTTGAAGAGACTGTACAAACTGTTTTCCTGTCCCTGATCATCAAGTTCTTAAGAGTATACCGTATTCAGTTGCTAAGTAAACTGCCCTAAGGTCTTTACAACAGACAAGAGAACAAATGATCTGAGGTGTAGTGCCTTGCTTTACTTCTCTGCTTCACAGATCTGTCTGAAGGAAAAGATGCTGGAGCCACAGTGAAGTAACTGAGCTCCCAGGGAGAGGCTGTACCCACTGTCACTGCACAGCACTTCACATGAGCCTCAGCCAGTCTCTTTCTGAGTAGTGAGGGTGCTTGCCTCTGCAATGGAAATTTCAGAGATGCTACTGTTTGGGATGCACAGTAATATACACAATACAAATATATAACTGCTTAGAGATGAACAAGCATATGCATTCAGTTGTATTTTCAAATTCACTTCCAATGGAAAACTTAAACATTTATCACACTTAAAGAGAATTCTTGTAAGCTGTGTCTCTAAGAGTTGTTTCTGCCCTCCATATTTTCTAGAAGACCTGAAAACAAAATCATATGCAGAAGTGAAATGAGTGGTGAAGGTTAAAAAAAAAAAAAAGAGGGAAAGAAAAAGATTATGGAAGGGAGGAAAGAAGATAGCAGGTGGGAGCTTTTGTAGCAACAAGGCACAGAATCTTGCTATCTTTTAGAATACATCTAGATGTATATAACCACGAGAGAATGAGTTTCTCTGCTCTAGACTGGTTGGTCTAGTTGCTCTGCAAGGTAGCATTCAGTAGGTTTGCTTCAGTGATTGAAGTCACCTGGCTTTTGTGCAGGGCTAAGGCAGAGTTGTCATAGGTCCTAATAACCAGGCTGTCCTGATATAGCTGCAGAGGGGCATTTGTGGGAGTGCAGGCCATGCACCTACCTTCTACTAGGCTTGCTGTTCGCTGGCTGTGCATGTGAATGCTGCAGATGAGCAACAGCTGAATAGGCTTGGTTCTCTCCCCATTAAAAATAAATTGCAAAAATTGTATTGATTTCAGTGCAGGGAGATCAGACTCTTAGCCTCCAAGAGGATATTTAATATATTCTGTTACTTGCTTCTTAATGGGATACAGTTTATACCATGCTGCACACGGAGCTGCATATGATACAGCTCCCTCGGGCTGCTTGGACATTGTGCTCTCCACTTCAGAGACTAGTACATAAACACAATTCACATGCTCCGTCTTTAGTCATGCCACAGTTTTGTCAACCACATCACATTTTCCTGCCTCAGGCTGTGGTGTGTGCTGTTAACACGCGTCTCCGGACTCAGGTCAGTGAACACAGGGACAGCACGGCATTGCTTCTGTTTTCTTGGGACTTTCCTGTCTTTTCTTGCTTTGCTATTCTCATAGATTTTTTTTTAGCTATTTTTTTTTTCCCTACTACACCATATAGCCTCTCCACCTTTTGTCTCAAGTATGCACCCAAAAGAGAAATAGTGTACTCTTTCAAGGCCTCATCTAAAATATTGAATTCTAGCCCTGAAGATTTAGCCCATAATGATTAGTCTCCTTGGCCTAGTAATGTTATCGTGAATTGAAGTGTAGCAAAAGGAAATCAGGAAGGGCAACATCCTTTTCTCTCAGAAGACTCTGAAGCTAAATTTAACGTAAATGCAATGTACATAGATTGCTCCAAAAGTAATGCCTCCTATTTATTTCCATGGAAACTACAACAGATATGAAGATTCCACAACAACACTAATTGATAAGAGAAAATTCTTAGCTACAAAACACTATTTATCAACATTGTTACCGCCATTAACTGATTCACATGGATGAGTTGATTGAGTTGCTCTTTATTTTGTGGTGTGACAGCTGTGCACGGCCCTCTGGAACATTGCTTGTCTTTCACGTCTCCGTTCCCACTGCTGAAACACACTACCCACCACCTCACTGTGCTCACATCCGCTGTTTGCTCTTCAGCAACGTCCAGCAAGTGTTGATGAATGTCAGTTGGTGCCATTTTTTCCACGTGGAGGAATTCAGTTCCAACGCACTTCCATGTCACACACCATTCTGCCAGACTGCCCCTCTGCTGCCATTTGTCACATGGCAACAAACTGTAATGGAATATTGGTGGGAAGGTTCAACTTTTACTGCCATACCACTAACATCTGCCTCTGACGTCTTGGACTGACATAACAACATATGAGGCATTACTTTGGACCAACCCTTGTAATTTGCATGACTCATCTCATTTTATTTTATTTCTCAAGCAGAGCTAGCAAATGTTGAAATTTAGGAAAATAAGATCCTCTTTAGTCTGTTCGGAGCAAGCGTGACCTACTTTCTTTCTCAACTTGCCACCAAATCTACACATTTTCCTCCAATTGTCATTTTTTTCCAGAAGATTTTTAAACTTATGCTTCCTTAGAATTGCTGGGAATTTATCATATATTGAAGTTTTGGTTAAACTTTGAATCATCAAAAATTACTATGGGAAAAAAGCTGTCTCTTCATTTTCAGGAATATTGTCCTCAACCATAGAGAAGGAAACAGCTTTTAATTTTTCTATACGAAATTCCATAGAAATGGGAGGAGGACAGGACTCTCCATCAATAAATCCTTCTTATTTAATGTACACCCAGCACACTGCAGCTGACGGGCTCAGGCAAATCAGGTCAGTGGGGCTTTGCTGTTCCACATCTTCACATGCAAGGTTTCTCCCAGGATGCATTTTAGATTTCCTTCTCTCTCCCTTTGGACTGATCTCACTAAAGCCTAATGTATACAGCAGTGAAATAGATGAAAGCTGACCAAGGGCATGCAGAAGGCAGTACTGAAAATCCCTTTTCCTCCATTCTTGTTGTCTGACTCCACCCCTTAGAAAGGCTTTTGTCTATGAAAAGCAAAATCAACAAAAAACTGTGTAGATTCATGACTTCTTTGTCTTCAGCAGTAGCATTTAATGAATGAACAAAGGTTCAGCTTCCTGTACTTTCTGAATTCAAAATGGAGAGTACTTTCCAATAACAGTGACTTCTTTCATCTTAGAAATACTCCTTCATAAAGAAAGCATAGCTAATACAAATCACAATGATAGATGTCTATTCCTCGTTTCTTTTGCAACAATTTAGCTGTGTCACTTGTTTCTAATGCCTGAGCATTCATTGTCATCATTCTAAATCTTTTAAATCACAAAAGGATGGAAAATGTTAATAGGAAAAGGAAGAAAGAGGTAATCGCCTAAAAGTTTACTTACTACACATCAGAAGAAAATCTGAGAGACAAATCCATCTTCAAAACATAGTTGCAGCTGAAAGGAGCTGAAGGCATAAACTCACAGCCGAATTCTAGCTCCTAAATGTACCTTATGGTGCATCTCACTGAGAAAGATGATTGTTTGTATCCTTCTTGGTTTGTTATCCCATTGTGTTTCTGCCTGGAATAGGGCACTCAACGCGTGTAAAGGATGTTTGCATTTAAGTAGGTACTGAGACTGCTGCTAGGACTTTGTGCTGGTCCTCTAGAAACATGTTACTGGAATGGAGAGAACGGGTGGCCAACATTCCAAGCTTTTCTGCAACTCCACAACTAGTCAGGACAGCTGGAGATCTGTAGGTAACAGCCATCCCATTTACTTGTGGGCTGATACGCAGTCTTAGATGGCTCCAGCCTCACCGCTGTTGCTCTACCTGGCTCTGCCACCCCAAGTGATTCTTGCCAGGCACTGTGTTTGTCTTTCTAAATTCTTCCAGAGTTAATATTTCTAATGAAAGCTTTTGGACCCCTTTCCTGTTATGTATATCTCCCCTGCTGCAAAGGGTGAATATGTAAATACAGTACAGTGGTTTTTGTTTATCAGTAATAGCATAACTTTATTGCTGCCCTTGCTGTCCTGTTTTGTCCTTCAGCATAGATAGTTCAGCATAAAGTTTCTCTTTCTCTTCTGAGTACTATGTGGTCTGATTTGTGCCGTGCACTACATGGTAGATTTGGCCATGCAATAATACTAAATTGACTGATGTTACTGGAATTGTTACTTCATCCTCTGAAAGCTTTAGTGTTGGAAATGGTACACAGGCTTGCAAAAAAAAAAAAAAAAAGAGAAAAGGCCACAAAATACTGTAGAGTAAACAAGATCTGGTTTGCAGAAGCTGACTAGAGACAGCTCAGCATAGGCACTTCCTAAAGTCACAAATTTTCTTTGTTGCCTCTGTGCCTGCTTCCTGAAGGACTGAAGTATTTTCATGGAGTCCAGATGTAAAAAGACAATAGGTCACTATAATTAAATACTCAGAGCAAAAGCATATCGTAGCCACTAAATTGTATGGTTAACACCAAGAATTAGCCTTCCAATGTCAGAAGTGTCACACTGAAGTATCTTAATTATTGAAGTCCTGCTGTAAACTAGACATCGGTGAGAAAGATAAAAGAAGTTATTTTGCTCTCAATAGAGTATGTTTGCATTGGCATTTTTTATTGATCAGATATCCCCGGTGAACATACTGCATTCTTAGTAATACAATATTCATAAAACCCAGCAAAAAAGAGAACCCTGACATACTGTAACAGCTATGTAGGATGTGGCATTTTGTGTAAAACAGTAGAGTGGAGTAGGAGAAGCCTCAATGCTGTTCCTGAAAGAGAGCAGTCATTCACTTGAGATGTCCAGCTGAATGAGTGGCACAAGCAAGGGCTGCAGAATTTGGTCAGTTGGTAGCAACCAAGCATTGATAGAAGTAAGGCCCAGGTATAATTTTTAATATATCCCACATGCACCCTTTCTCATATTTTTTCTCTATACACAATTGAAAGGAAACTTATCTAGAAAGAGAGAGACTGACGTGTCACATCATGACATTACTACAGCGTTGTGCTTTACGGGCCATATTCAGTGAGACCCTCGAGTGATCTGTTCCAATAATACAGATAACAGCTAGTAGGATGATTCACCCATCAAGCAATAACGAGCAGCCATTGCATCACCTTCTGTTGTTTATTGTACCCTGAGGCTGTTCAGAATACAGTTGCCTTGATAAAAAGATAAAAGAAGAGAACATAAAACTTGGGTGAAAGAAAATTCTTATTAAACTAAATCTACTTCTTGTCTCCTCTTTCTTTGTTCCCTTTAAAGTTATTATTAATAAGGCCAGAGTGTTTGATAGTGAACAGGCATTTGTGTGAGAACCATTATCGGCGGAGTAACACCTCTGAACGATTGCTCAATTCAGTGAATAAATGAGGCCCAAAGAATGAGTGTAGGATAGATAGTTTAGAGCAAAGTCGAGCCCAAGACTGAGACTGTGACATTATTGGTTGAATTCTGAAGGTTTTCTTCCATCTACTTAGATTTTCTGGAAGTCAGTAAGATCTCTGCCCATGCAAGAGATCTGAGTAAAACCTGATGATCCCTTAGGCTTTGAAGATGTAATAATGTTTATGTCTCAAGCTCCTCTCAGAGTTCATAATGAGCATTAATTAAATATACCTTAGGGCTCCCTATGCCAGAGCAAAGTACTCCTGCTCTCTTTAAAGAGACAGAGGAAACCAGTCACTGCATGGGAGAAGTTCCTCTAACAGGATTTGGAGCTTCTCCTGCTCTGGGTCCTTTTTCAAAAGACCTTGAGTTGCTAACCGGACATCCAGGGATTTTTAGGGGTCCTGACTTCCTCTAGCTCCTTGTGTCTTCAGACAGAGATGTTGGTGCTTAGAGCTCCTATATTCTGCTTATCTTTAAGAACAGTAAGCAGAGCATCTAGGGTATTTAGTAGCCAGTCAGTACAAGATGCTGAAGACACAGAATGTACTTAATAATGTGAGGTAGGCATTAAGTGCTAACGTACTAATAAATATACCTGAATCAATAATCTCAGAGATCACAGATAGGCAGTTCCCTCTAGACAGCAAAGATATAATTCAATGCATACATTTAAGTAAGTCAAGACATAAATTGTTCTGTGTTCAAAAAGTGGTATCAGATTTTACTCTGGGTGGATATGTTAGACCTTCACAGTTGAGACTTCATAGTAGGTCAAACCCTCTGTTGCAGAGTATCCTACTTGATATGTCATCGCAACCCAGAGCGTACAAAGAAATGATGACATAAATTTATTATCCAGGAGCCTCATGCTGGAATACTGACAGAGACAAAACTCACCCATTACCAATACAGAGACATTTACCTTGATAAGTCATTCTGATCAAAAGATATTTCATTTGTTCTGATCAAATTCATTTGTTTATTGGCTGTTTCAGAACCAGCACCCATGGAAACCTTGATGAAAAGCTGGAGGACAGGATGTGGAGATGGACTTAATGTACAATAACAAGTTATCATGATTCATACTTTCCTTTGCTGCTGCTGAACATACTCTCCATGTGACCAGAACCCACTCATAAATCACAAGCAGAAATTCTGCTACTTGATGTGATGGCACTAGCCATGATCTGTGTAAGCTCACTGCTTGAGTCTAGGGTAGCAGCCAGCACAGACTCAATGAGAGGTGACAAAAGGAGGAGGTAATGTTAGGCGCTTTGATAGAACAAGACAGAAAGAGCACTGCAGATTCTTTTCCAAAATAGGCTCAGCATGGATTGTCAGTCCTGGAATACCAAGCAAATGTTTACACAGTGATGAGTCCCTCCCTTTGAGACTATCCTACCAATGGAAGAACAAAATTGAATGCAAATCATCAGCACTCTGTGTGCAGGTTCCCTGCATCCCATCATGAAGCATATGAATTCTATGCACTCCTAAGAATTTCATGCTAATACATTCTTTTTTTTTCTGTATTCTTCCTAAAAGCTTGCCAAGATAAATTACTCTCTCATTTTCCCTAGATGAAATCCAATTTGTGGCACTTCTGATTTGCTGGAATATCTATGGTGCCTCCAAGTTTTTCGTGGTGCTCTTGATAGCAGAGTTTGCTTCATAATTCATGAGAAAATCGCTTTAGTTTTTATATCCAGATTGTGCCATAAAACCTCACATTTTCACTTTGTCAGCTGCCTAAAGCAAGGGAAAAGTTTATAACTTTTGCCCCATGACTAATACAAGGCTTTCCCTGCAGCAAAGTGGCCGTCAGGAGGAAACTCACCAGACAGTCTCAGTGACGACCTGGGGGGGTGATGGAAGCCCCTCTGGGACAATGCTTTTTCCTGCTTCTGGAAGTCCCTCCTATTTCCACATTGGCTTCTGCATCCGGTACTTTACCAGGATTCTCTTTCACATCAAAGTATCTCTCCCCAGGCTACACATGTAGGGGCACAGCCTTAGTTTCTATGGGAAATAGTTCTATCCCAAAGGAAAGGGAAAAAAATGTTTGGCTTAAATATGCTTAACGCTCCCCCTTCTGTATAAGGAGCTCTGTTGTTGCACTTTCTCTATTCCCCTGGGATATCAACATGCTCTTTACTGCACTCAAGATTATTTTCTTAGTTGAGGTGTTTAAAACGGACTGTGGGGGGAATTTTGCTGTCATCCACACTGGTTAAACAAACATCAGGCTAAAAGTCTGCTAAATTAATGGCATCTTTTTTTTTTTTGTGTGTGTGTGTGTGTGTGTGGTTTTGTTTTGCTAGTCTCACCCTTAGGATGAGTTGGTTCCAGTTCTACCATTTAAAAGGGCTTTATCATGCAGACTGTGAAGTTTCTGCTTTTCTCCTAAAGTTATTGCAAACATAGAGAGAGCCAACGTATGGGTGATAGAGCTGCTGCTTAGCCCTGTGAACAGATGGAGAAGCCACGAATTTGTGTTGTAATTGAAGCCAAGGAGCGTGTTTGACAGAGAGCTGTGACTAGAGATGAGCAGCAGCAGGCTCCATATATTGCTGAGTACTTTGTGCAACCTCAGTCAGCTCACAGAAGGAAAATAAATCTTTGGATACAAGACTGCTCCTGAGTTGAGTATACCCCTTGAGTAAACAACATACACAGAAAAGCTGTAGCCTTTGTGATAGCAGTTATCATGGCTTAAGGATATTGATGTGATGAGTTTTGTTGGGACCAGCTGACCTAACATACAAAGCAGATGAACATTTTAGTGCACAAACCCATTTTCAAGTTTAATGAGAAAACAGGAGTGCTCCTCATTTGACAGTGAATGTGGGATCGTTCAAAATTACACGTGCTTGCTGGTAGCCACAACTGATATCAAGAAGGAAACTCCTGTTGACTTCCGTGGTGGTGAATTAAACTAAGTCAGGACATCCCAACCACACAGACTTCTCCTTAGTCCAAACACTTACAAAACACATATAATTTGCTAGCTCAGTTATTCACTTTTTGAAATCTCCTGAATGTGTTTGTTATTCTACTGTTGGTGCCATTAATTCTTCCCCCATTTCCCTCAGTTGGCATTTAATCTCTTTGAGTTGATTGTTCATGCCTGCAAGATCACTGGGTTTATTTCTACACCAGGCTCTTTGATTCTGCCTGTATTTGGGGGCCGCTTAGTTTTTTGGTTATTTGAAATGCTTTGAATGTTCCCTTTAATTACACCACCTTGTAAGAGGCTCTTCTACAAGAGTTGCTAGCTACAACACCCCTGGTTGCCTCAGTAGTCATGATGCTATGCAGAGAAATCATGAACGAACATATGTAAACATTTTGTAAAGATGACAGCCACTGAAGTGCAAAATTGACATGTAACCTTCAGGAATCCTTGATTTAGTTTTGGTTTTGTTTTGTTTTTATTTACTTTATATATTTAGTGGTACTAACAGAAGCCGAAATGCTTATGGATATGTAAAATGCTTACCATGGAAATATGCAGAATCTGGAAACAGACCTCTAACATCTCAGCCAGAAGTGTGACATTTTTCCTTGGGACAGATTGTCAGCCATGACCAAACATGGCCCAGCAGAATTGAGGATGTATACAAATTGGAGATTGGCCAGAAGAAAGCTACAGGAATGATAAAAGGTTTATAAAACATGAGTGATGAGGAAATGTTGAAGGAACCAAGTTTGTTTAGTCTATAGAAGAAAGACTAGAGGGAAAAGTATGAGTTTTTCAATATGTAAACAATCGCTTTAAAGAGGACAGTCACCATTTGTTCTCCATGGCCACTAAGAGAAGGACAAAAATAAATCAATGTAATTTGCAGAAAAGACACTTTAAGTTACACTTTGGGAAGAGCTAGGGAGGTCAGTTTCTTCCTCTGGATGTTTTACTGACATTGGAATTTGTCTCCTTCTTGCTACTTGAAGAAGTACTTGAAGGAGCCTCATTCAGCTTCTTCCAGTGGTTTGGTAGAAATTCCCAACTTTCCATCACATCTAATTCCAGTCTTTCCAGCAAGGAATATGGCTCGTGGTGTCATGAGGGAAGAACACTGTTGCACATTTTAACAGCCATCACATTAGGCCAATTGTTCTGGGCCCTCACTGCCACCTTGAGGAAGTTTTCAATGCACATTTGTCTTGTGCCATGATATCAGGCTTCTCAGTGTGTGTCAACAGCCATTGAGCGGTCTGATTTGCAGTTCCATTGGAAACAGCAGAAAGAATAAGGTATTTGCTGTAGCTACAGCACAGTGATTGTGCTTGAGCTCAGGAAGGGTGTCTTCTGGCACAGGCAGGTGGTGGATCGAAGACAAAGTGGAGGAGCAGCTGAAAAAAATGGATACTTGAGACAGGGTTTTAAAAGCACTGAAAAAACTGCAAGGCTGGTATATCTAGGCAATATGGGAGGTAGTCTGGGAACCTTCAGAAAATGTCCTTCCATCATGTCTTATCTTACAAACACTTTCCAGGGAATTCTAATTTATTTATAATTAATTACTAGTGTATTTATTATTATCAATATTGATTTCAGTTTACGAGGCAAGACACAAAGTTAGCATGAACCATTGTGTGCAAAACCTGAAATACTTCCAGGTTGCTGTGCCAAGTTGATGAGAGCCAATGCCACACTGGCATCGGGGGATGCCTTACTGCCAGACTACCAGAGAGGACAAGTGTCCTGGAGGCAGAACTGCCTTCAGACGTAGAGGCATACCAGGGTAGCCTCGAGCAGGCAATGGGGAAGGCAGTATACTTCTGAGATTAAATCCTATCTGTGTCTTAACAAAGACAACTCCTCTGTACGGTATCTTTCAGCATCCTGTTAATTAAAAAGAAGATTAGGATAAATTTACAAAAATAAATAAATTAAAGAGAAAGCAACTTCTGCCAAAAAATGAACTTTCATGTTCTACTCCTGCCTGACATTAACTTCCCAGGAGCCAACTTTCTTAGGGAATAGCCTGTTATCAGATGAAGGAAGGACTGAACAAGAAAGATATTCCTTTGTTATGAAAGCCACCCCCTTCTAACAAGACCTTCTCCCCCAGCTTTTAATGCTCGCTGACTTACTTCTGATCTCTTGGCATCTTTGTATTTTCCCACCTGTCTATCAACCTCCTCTGAGGGTATTTTCCTTCTTGAAGCTAAACTTTGCAACACAACTAAAAGAAAGCAAACAGAAATGGCTTCAATCATTCTCATTGCTTAAAAATTCATAATCATTTCTATAGCCAAAGGCAGAAAAGCTAATTATTTACTGTCCCAACCAGTCTTATCACCTCCCGGGAAAATGTGCTATTGAGCTGGCTGCGCTGATACATCTGCAGAAATCAGCTCTCAACCTCAGGACCCAAGTGTACTTATATCACCAGTGGGAATTTTCCAGCTTTGAACAGCAGCAGCAGCAGACTAACTATGAGGCAGAAAAGTCAGCCACTGGGGAGTGGGAAGGCAGCAGTGTCTTGCTTTTCTCCCTAGAGAACCTTCTGACCATCTTGACACTGGCATTTACATAAGAGCAAGCTATTTAGAAGAGGATTGTGGTTTTTTTTGTTTTTTTTTTTAAGTGCCACCCATGTAAAGATCTTATGCAAGAGAAGGGCCAGAATCTGGCTGATGTGGGCAGATACCTGTTCAGAAATCTTCACCAAATGGTGGCTCTGCCTTTCTCTTTGTTTTGTTTGTTTGCTTGTTTGCTTTTCATTGGAAAAATGCCCAGCTGTGAGAGAGTTTGGGGACTAGGACTCACTCTCCCCATACCCCATCTTATATTGCAGCTGGATCCCCCTAGAAACTCTTATGTATGGACATCCTGTTTCTTATTCCTTTGAAGCAACCTTTTCCCTCTCCTTCTCTGTCTTCCAAGGGCCCTTCATAATCTACCTCTAAACTTAGTTCAGATACAACATTTGTGCCTTCTGCAGAACATGTTCTGGAACAAAAAGACTCTCCCTTTGAGACCTCAAATTCTTTGAACTCCCTCATCCAAATTCACAACAGGCATTTCCTCCTGGTCCTTTTCTTTGAGCAGACTCTTGCTTTTATTGTCAACTTGAGT